ATGTATGATTATGTTTTGGGAAACATAAATTCTAGGATTACATGTGCAATTAAATTGGTTTGTATCGTTTAAATCATCCGATTAGAAAGTTAGGACAAAAACTTCTAATTGAGTAGAGAATGCATGAATTGTTGATGTTGATTGATCCAATCTAATTGAGGGAACCCCGAAACTTCACTATTTTACATATTATATTAAATTTTATTATTATTTCCGCTGACATTTACATTTGAATGCAATAAACAAATTCCCTTCATCAAATTCACGAGAACCCAAAGTTATTGAACCCCTCGAATCACTTTTCCATCTCCCTGTGGATACGACACCCCAAATCTATACTACAACACCGTGTAACACTTTGGGCGTAATCACTGTCAATTTAAATTTTATAAATCAGATTTTGATTTTCGACAATCGAAAGAAGAGTGTGACTCAATTTATTTAATGAGTATGTTTGTTTGGGACAAAAAATAATCAAAGAATTTTCGATAAAATTAACTATATTTCTTTTTTGCTTTTTTTTTTCCGTTTTTCTCCTACTTAATTTCCTACAATTGTTTGATTTGCTCTTTTCCTTGTGCTCAACGTTGTTCAATACACATAGATAATAGTTTCGATGATTTTTCACCTTTGTATGTTAATATTAAACCGAGTTTAAAGGAATTTATTGGTTTTGTGAAAATAAAATCACAGTTCAAATGTCCTACGCAATGATGAAGAAAGAATCATGTGGTCAACTTCAAATTTATTTAAAAAAACCTCAATTTTTTTTTTTTTGGGTATCTTCGACAATAGAGAAGTACAAAAAGAATCTTTCACCACTTATGTACTACACTAGGTGCAAGCAACGTGCAATGCACGTTTGTCTAGTTTATATTTAATAGTTTTGTTTAAGAATTAATTTGTTATTAATAAAGATGTAATTTTTTTGGTTAATTAAATAATTAATGATGTAATGTTTATGTAATTGATAAATAATTAGATGTGTGATTTTGACGTCGT